TAGTACATCTATGTTTCTGATCATAAAAGAAAGGCAAGTTTTTGATCTCTGTTTCTCGAAGTGAATGGTATCTCAAACTTGAGATAATATGTATCCTCTTATTGACGTTTTGTATGCTTGTGGAAAATAAAGAAAAAACATGGCATGTATAACCCCGCTTATATCTTCAGTATCGGAATGTTTTCTTAAGCGTTGTCGAATAAAGTGATCGAATTTATGTGTTAGGACTGAAATCTTACAGACCATGAATTTTTCCTAAAATTTCAGGAACTTAATATATTTTATCACTCGCAGTGTTGTCGAGGTCCGGAATTTTTTTTTTTTTCGAGATTGATTATTTATTATGTCAGTTTAGGACTTATTAATTATTTTCAAGATGATATTTAACGAGACTGTTCTTATTTTTTCATTAAAAAGATCCAAATTATATCTAATAATGGAGAAGGAATAAGTAGCAATAGTCAAGGACAGATTGTTTATTTTCTTGCTAGTCTAGGCGAGATTATTTTAATTTTCTCAAGGAATGATTATTTATTTCCTAAATCTGTCACCTACCACATCAGAATCAAATGGCCACCTGCAGAAGATGGGGGTTTTGCGATTGATTGAGTGTAATTGTTTTACGTCCCTCTCGAGAATTTTTCACTCATATGGAGACGCCAACACTTACGGGTGGAAAACTGCAAATTTAGTCCTATAATCGGCACTGAAGGCCATTGAGCATTGATGGATTTTTTTGTGCCAGCACCTCCTGCGACAAGGAACCTCGGTTTATACGGTCTGATCTGAAATACCGGTCGTCTCTACGTCTCACAGGTGGATTCGAACCAGCGACGAAGGTATTAACCCCTTGCTTCGCGACTCTAGAGCAAACGCTCTAACCACAGGCGAGCGACCGGTGGCTTGTGTGAGAAAAAAATATATGAAAATAGCATACAATATGACATATGACAGGCTTTGTGATTTCAAACTTGCATTTTGTTTCAGATTTAAGGCATATAGATGGTTTGTGGCTTTCGCACATTAAAAGAGTATTTCCCGCCTGTTAGATTTTACACAGCAGAGGTCAAGGGAACTTTCATATGCTTTGCTTGCAAAAGCAGTATCTCTCGTATTGATCATAATCCCCTCACAACAGAGTTGGGGATAAAGTAACGAATCATGTCAGTGCGTTTGTTTGTTGCTGTTTTATGTCCTGTGCAAACAGATGTGCCACCAATTAATATTCTATCAGGATCGATGCCCTGTTCTCTCTTGATTTATAGATAAGCTCTTTTTTGTGAGGGGATGCTCGCTTTGTGGTATTTTTTTGTTCTTGTTTTTGCTTTCTACTTGATTTTTAAAGCTACAAAATGGTATTCGAAACCTATCACTATAGCATCTATCTTAGAATTTTCTCGCATACACTTTGTAAAAAGGATCAATCTATAAATAAAACATTTTGTTTTATTGGACAAATATATATTATTAAGTCTTTAAGTAATGTCACAGGGTCACCGTCTTGTTAGAAGAATTCAAAACAAAACTGGTTGGGTCGTTTTACAATTTATTGATGGATATAAAGAAAAACCTAGAAAATAGAAAAACACTCTCACAACACTCATACAAAACAATACACATAGACAAACACGAAACAAAAAGACATTTCAACATTTACGAAAAGTAATAATTCAATAAGATATTCAAACGACTGCCGGTAGATCGTTACATAAATTAAACAAGTAAATGAATTACAAGATAAATGAACATCTTACCAGGCATCCAGTATCAAGTCAGAAAAATATAATTATATGCTGTACATCGATTAGTCGATCTGTGATAGAATCTAATAGATGTGATCTGCTGCCGTAAAGGCTGTAGAGCTCGGGGTGGGGATTTGGCGGGTTTCTTACTTTATATAGTGCACGGGTTAGTAAAACAGCATATTAATTAGTATAACGAAATCCATTGGTCCATGGTAGGTCACTGGTCAGTCATACGTAAAGGAAATGCTAAAAATAGAAATTCACCTGTACAAAACAAAACACTCGCACACGGCTCTCACACACCTGCAAAACCGGTTGTATTCGATTGGCTATGCGCGCCAATCAGAATACGTACTTAATATTGCGCAAAGCATCAAAGCAAATTAATAATAATTATAATTTACTCACAACTGTGACAGTAAGACCAGATAAAATCTTAAATTTGGCATTTCATGTTCAGATATCGTTGAATTTTTTTATTGTTTATTTTATTGACATGAAAACTAAATGAAGCGAATTAAAATAAAAAAATGTTACACAGCTGTTACACATTTTTTAATCAAAATAAATCATAAAATACCTATTACACTTACTCCCTGTCAAAACATCAAAATTACAGAAACAAATGTCTTTAAAACTAAAGAAAGCACCTTAGTTGTTGTATATCTGTCAAAAAAAAATCAGATTAACCATTTTAGAATAAATATGATTTCAATCAAGAAATTTTACTGATTTTGTAGAATTGTGGGGATATGAAAGCGATGTTTACATGTAGCTCTCAAGAATGCAATGTCTTTATAATGCTCTTAAATGCAATATTTAAGAAATTAATAAGTTTATAAACCTCGATGGGAATTGAAGTGAGTCGGTAACGTGATCAAATCCTGTGAAGGCCAAAGGGCTTCTCAGATTTGATCACGTCTCGATCCATTTCAATTCCCATCGTAGTTTATAAATTTGTTATTCATTACTTATATATATATTTGCGAAAGACAATTAACTATATTCGAATATAAATATTGCACAAACCGGTCGCCGTAGATTTCCGACAAAAGTGCGCAAGGGGTAAATTGGCTTGAAAGGCCATAACGTTTCAAATTCTTCAAGCTAAGGATTCTATTTCGAAGGGAGTATTTTGTATATATTATAAAAGTGAACATATTTTCATCTGGGAATCTTTGAATTAGTCAATAATACCGAAAAGACACAAGATAGACGTTCGAAGATTGATATTAAAAGGTTGGAAGAATTTAGGTTGCCTGAAAGGGATGGACGGATCTGATGAATGAAGACACTTTTCCGAGCCAGTTAATTTCCAATCAAGTATTAAATTTGAAAAAAAAAACATTCAATCTACGGTTTAAGTAACTAAAGGCATATTTATGATGCAAACACTTATCTATGATGGACACTGGCGACAGCTTACACTAAACGAAGACAACACCGATCGAAGTGTTTGTCAGCTTTGACATTTTCCAGCAGATTTACACATTTATCGTGAGTAGAATTTAATTAAAATATAATAGTTTTAGTCTTGATCATGAAGATTTAACTTAAGGTCTACCCAAAAATATGGATTAACGTTAGGGACTCTGCAGCTGACTAATTTACGACGTTCGATCCGGATATTTAAAGTCTTAAACTTTTTTAGCAAAGTACATTTTTAGTTCCTACAATCATAGCTTAATTAAAATTTTAATCAAAAAATGGGGGTGAATATGCTTCTTTTGACGCTACAGTACATTTAATATGACCTTTTTGCACTGAAATTTGTGTCTTAATTAAAAATCACATCTGCGACGTTTTCCCTGCAAGAAAATTATTTTAAAGTCTTAAACTTTTTTTGAATTTAAGTAAATAGGTCAAAGCTATCTTGAATATTTAGTAAAGAACATCAAAAGTCGGGGTATATGATAATAATTTTCAGATATTACTAAAAAAGTGTCAATTGTACGTTGAAATTGGTTCAATTTTCCACCGGATTTCCAGAATATGTTTATTATATTTGTCACATTTTGTTGATAGAATTCATAGGAAATAATTTAATAGATATTTCAGAACCGGTATAACAAATTTCACTGCTAAAAACAGCTTTGTGTGAAACAAGCATGGAAAAATAGAAATCCAAAATTAACAGTACTATTTTAGTTCAAACTGGAAAAACTGATCATTTTCGTCTAAAAAAAAACCTTCCGCCACATAATATACTGAAAGGAAAAAGAAACGCAGGGTAGCATAATTGTCGAAAAAAAATTTGACAACATGACCGAAAATTGGTCAGATGGGAAATTAGGTACTGTGCATCAAAATCAGTATTCAGAATTACTCAACCGTAAAATTTATGAAAACGCTAAAAAGCCCAAAACACGTGCAATTTGATAACGACGTGTTTGTCCACAGATCTTGTTGCATTATTTGATGCATATGAGGTATGCACATCGTTTTTCAATATTAAGACATTATGAAATTATTGCAATCTTGGCACAGTTTGGGGTCTTATTTTCGACTTGCTTAATTAATGAAAAAGGCAACAACAGTTTACTAAGCAGTCTCTTATAAATTTTCCCCCATAAAACCTTTTAGCCGTTGTCAGAGAGGGTCTGGAGTGGATTTCAATCAACCGTGACAATGACGTTAACACGAAATAGAGCCATGTTACGAGCGGGTTATTCGTCCCGTCCTCTCTTAAATCGCCACCTTACTACCACAAAAACAGCCATTTATAGTGTACACGATTATAATCATTACATTCATACGAAATTTGAAAGAAAACATTTCCGCAATTTTGTTTTTTGAGCCAGTCAACTTACTGTTTATTCCTCTCACTGGCGCATGTGCGCGCCGTTTGACTTATTTTTTTTTGCGTGGTTGCCCCTGCCAACATTCTGATGAAATTCCATGCAAAGGAGAAATAAGGCCATGACAGATGCACGAGATGGACATTGAAGATAATGAGAGTTTTCTATTCTCCCTTTTGGAGGGTATCGTCATTTGAGCTTCAATAACTCATGAATAATTACACAAAGTCATATGAGAATTGGTTATATCTTTTTGAAAGATGATTTTAAATGTTAGATAGGAAAACTAAAACGTATTTTAAGAAAAACAAATTTAATTCACCTCAAAATTTTACCCTGCGTTTCTTTTTTCCTTTCAGTATATATTTCCTAGCTCTATTCTACTTGAATGGAATTTAATCAATTTGAATTGTGGAATCCATATTCAATGTTAGAACTTTAAAAGGATGCAGAATTTTATAGATAAAGGACCTGACCAAAATACGCTCAAAATCCCAGGGTCGAACGTCCTTAAGAAGCAAATTTGAACACAAAAAGCAAAGACATTTTACACATAAAGCTGTTTAATGATGATAAAATAAAGTTAATCAAATGAATGTAATTCTTTGCCAAATTCGAGTATCACCTAATAGTGGATTATAAAACAGTGTTAACTGTCCGAAACCAGATTATGATAAATCGAACAATTTGGCCAAGAATTAAAGTCATTTCTAAATTAATTCTATAGTGGATCTTTAGAATACAGGGTTTTAATCTCCTATTCTTTCAACATGTGGATTTGAGCCTATAAATACATATATTACATGTATATAATGGCTATTATATATATTACATGTATATTAAAAAAACTGTCCGTGAACTTTAGAATTTTTTTACAGTAATGATTAGCTTTGGAAACAATAAGTGAAAATTATTTTATTTCCAATCTGTTTGATGTGTTAATGTTCTCCACACGTTCTGTCCGAAACCAGATTATGATAAATCGAACAATTTGGCCAAGAATTAAAGTCATTTATAAATTAATTCTATAGTGGATCTTTAGAATACAGGGTTTTAATCTCCTATTCTTTCAACATGTGGATTTGAGCCTATAAATACATATATTACATGTATATAATGGCTATTATATATATTACATGTATATTAAAAAAAACTGTCCGTGAACTTTAGAATTTTTTTACAGTAATGATTAGCTTTGGAAACAATAAGTGAAAATTATTTTATTTCCAATCTGTTTGATGTGTTAATGTTCTCCACACGTTCCAGTATTCAGTTAATTCAGTGGGATTGATGATATGCCTATCAGAAATCGAATGCAAAGGACACATAATTGGTTGGTCTACACTTGGAAGGTCTTTTTCAGGTATGAAATGCCCCTTGATATCCATGGCAATTACTTTATTTGTATTTATTCGACATCTAAAGCCTCTTAAATACTTTAATTTTCTGTGGAAGGTTCCCACCAAGTTATCTAAAATTTCTTCTACTCTTTCTTGAATATGTCTTGTGTTTTCCCTTTCCAAAGTACATCCCGGTATAGGATGAATTACTTGAAGTTGTATGGAATCTTCTGTGACAGATAAAACAATGTAGTACCCCATATAAGAAAACAAAGCTGCGTCTCTGAAGAGACAAGATGTACCCTTACTTTCTCGTACTTTCCAATCCTTTTCTTGCATACAAGCAACAACAAGACGAAAATACAAGAAAAATGGCAGAAAATCAAATTGATAAATAAGAACAGATGATTTACTCTCCGATTCGTTAATGAGATTTGAAAGTTCTTCTTCCACTTCTTTTCGATTCATGCAAGGAACATAGTAGGATTCTTTACCTATAACCAGCAAACCAAGTCTTTGCATGAAAGTGAGAAGTGCTGTTTTATGGTATTGTAGAAATCGTTCATCTTCCTCATAATTAATGTCACTAAAAGAGTAAATTCCCTTCTCTTTCTGAAGCTTTTCATATAATTCTTTATCTTCATGCTTCCAGATCTCTATAAGAAGTCGGTCTCGCAAATGCCCAGTTTTGTAATATTCATCCCAGTCCCCCCGAGTCCCAGGAATACCTTTGAAATGAAGCTCATCTGTGATGATATGTTTGAAGGCATCAATAAACCATTGCACATCAATAATTACATCTTGGTCCAAACCATTTTCATGAAAATGTAGAACTTTTCCGGCATCGTGATGATATCGTAACATATCCTCTCTCCCCTTCGCTCCTTCATCAGAACTCTTCTGTCCTTTGGCTGCAATCTCTGGGAATGTCGTTGTTATTTCTGAAATCTTAATTATTCTTTTGGGGATTTTTTTCAGATTACATTCTATTCCAAATAAAGACCATTCCGTTGGAATGTTTTCTTTCCATCGTTGATTGGAAGCTATGTTGAAGAAACATCTTTCTAAATCATAAAGCGGAGAACCAAATTGTACGCAGTGACAATTATCTTTACTGATGTACTGTGATAATTTAGAAAATTTATTAAACTGGCATCGAAGACTCTCCATGAAGTTATTTTTAGTCTGAAATGATAAACACATTTCTTACTTTCAGTATATATGTGCATATTTTCTCTTGAGACATTATTTTGATTAAATAACTTAAAGCTGGGATTTCTTTTGTGCAAAGATCAATGATTCCACTTCTTTGTTAAAGTCTTAAGGGTTTATGTTTTTAGAATTTTCCATAAAAGTTGAATTGAAAAAAAAGAATTTTCTTTACAAAAAGCAAACAATTTATAATTACATGTATTCGAGTGACCAACAGATTTTAAACCGATTTTATAACTGTATTCTAACACCTGCCTTCAATACCAATACTGTTCATTTCAATAAACATCGACATAATCAAATCTAAAATGGATATATCTAAGCTATGTCACTAGATATAATAGAGAAAAAAATCATCAATGATTGAGAATATAACTTGAGCGAATTCAAAATTCCTTTAAATGAAAAACAGTGTTATTAGCTATATTTTGTTTACCTCAAACTTTCTGTTTTCATCTTCCCAATGTGTCGCTACAATGTGAACAATTGGTTTTGGGTCACTTCCATTGTCTGAACCACAGTAAGTGTGGATGGACTTAATCCAGAATGCAAAGTAGTCTAGAAGAAATAAATGCAACAATTGTTAAAAAAAGTAAATGAAATATATCTATATTATTGACATTTTAATACAAAGTACACTTATTAATAGATACATTGATATATAATTAAAAAAAATTAATCTTTGGTCGCTCCCTAGAATCTGAAGCATTGACATGGTGAGGTAAAGTTGATGATATTTAAAAAAGTAACTGACCAGTGAAGCCACCTTGCATATAATTCGATATTTTGAAAAGTATAAATAATTTTAATTTTTCAGGACTGATAATAAATATAGCTTTAATCATGTATAATTTTGTTTATTTACTTTTACTGGTATGAATATTATCGATGTTGTGACATTCCTTTTGGATCAACCCTCGTAGATATTCATATAAGAGTTCCATTTGATATAAGAAATGAACATAAAAATATGGATATAACAACAGTATTCAGACCCAAAAATACATTAATAAATTTAATTATTCAAAAACATCATAGGTGGACAAGGTGCTTAGGAGAAGTGAGCATCCCCTTCCAAGCGGTAATTCCCGCCATGTGAGGTGAAAAATATAAGCAGAGAATAATAAGGACGGGTTCAGAAAGGTAGAATTTCGGAACGCACCAGAAGGTTAACAATTTCTAAACATTCTAGAAATGTATTATTCGCATCGATATCATTTTTATTGAAATTATATAAAATAATTGATACAAATCCAGGCATCTATTTCTGTTTATATCATCTGTCCTTGATTAAAGTAGCCTTGAGTAAACTACAAAACTTTTTGTTAGTGAAACTCCAAAGAACTCTAGGAAACTTTAAAATTGCCATTTTTTTTCAAAAGATACAAAATATACGTCTTTTCCATACTTTAAACAGTGATTCCACACGATAGAAGAAAAAATGAGCTTTTTTAGTATCATAAAGAATTGTTCTTCAAGAAAACTAGGAGTAAAAATATTTCTTATCTTTTGACTCTTCATCAACAAAATGACTTCTTTTAAAAACATCATTGATTCTACGAACAAGAAGACACCTGCTGTTGACTTGAACTCAATATATTTTTTACCTTTATCGACGATATGTATAAATAGATTTACAATAAAAGTAATCTCCATTCTTGCTTTTATAATTTCAATGAACGTGACATAAAAGGCAACACAGAGTCTGTCGCATCTGATTCATATTTTGACGTGTTTTACTGACTATACGCCAACTGACAACTAAGTTGTATGCAAAAAGAGACGACTCTAGCTTTTCCATTGTCTATTCTCCTTATTTATGTACATGTAGTGATTTCTCGGTATCATCTGTGTATGGTACATATCCCAAATTATATGATCTTTAAAAGCAAGTCCCTAGTGTAATCAATTTTTACACCGAGTCAGGCTACCCAATGTTAATGTAATGTTAGGAGGATTTCAAAAACTACATGGTCTTAAATAACGTTTGTGGCATATAATATCCGTTAGTTGGTCTTATTGTAGATAATTTCTTTTATACCAATTACATAGCCTTTGATTTATACCAAATCTGGCCATTTAATGTCCATCTACCTGATCAATGCATCGTCCCAAGACCTGTTTGACAGGTCAACAGGGGATGTTTACTCCGCCTAGGTTCCTGACTCCTCCTTTGAAATTTCAAGGGGTCCTTATTTAAAACTTCCTTACAGATTTGAATTGTTTATTGATTATTTAAAACGATCACTGTTCATTTTCTTCACGTTTTTCTTAAAATTTGAATTTTAAATTGTAGTGTGAAGAGGAATAGATTAATGCTGCAACATAGAAATGCTGCTATGCAGTAGACTGTAAATCTATTTTTTCCAATAAACCTCAGTTTACAACTTATTTCTATATTTATATGTGAAATTAATTATTCTAATAAAAAATCAAACAGTTCCCCTATTGCTACATTGAAAAGTTGAGATTAATTCAACAACTCCTCTCAGTACATACAAGGTATGCATTAGATGACTATATTAAAGTGACATTTAACATCGTGATTGCGTTCCGTTTGCATCAAATGCAACCTGAACACGTTGTGTCAGAGAGTTAAAAGCTTGTTGATGGTTATCTTGGGACTATTCGTACATTCCTGATAAAATGTCAGATCTTGATCTTATTGGTAGATTTGGACGGCGTGTGGCAACACACTTTGAAAAAAATTGCGAACTTTGAAAAAAAATTGTCAAAGAGCGTTAAAATTGGGACAAGATCAGCTCACTTTGAAAACAGATTTCAAAGAGCGTTAAATTTTGGGCACACTCAACGCACTTTGAAAAAAAATTCAAAGTGCGTAAAGAGTGTACATCAAAAGTTTTTTCCAAGGGGAAATTTTAACGCACTCTGAAAAAAATATGCATAAAACCAAAATTCTAGAATAAGATTTTAGTAATTGAGAGAATTAATTTTGAATATCTATATCTTTCTAAAAAATTGACCTTGAACTGATGTCATATTTCAAATCTTGGAAAGGGGTTTAATCATAATTTTATAATTTTGCACTTTTTTACATTTGTTTTTATTTCCGTAAGATTCCAAGGACGCAAGTCCGTCTAGTGTTAATTTTGTTATCAGTTATTGGTTTTATAAAAAAAAATTAAGAAAGTTTAATTAAAGTCAATTACGAATGTACGAGGGTTGTCCAAAACGTTCGTGGACAATGACGTTTTTGTGAAAATAAATGGTTCTTTATAAATCTTATGAAAAAACAAGTCATAATGATTTAGTTTTTATTAACGGAACGTAATATTTTGGTAAAAATCGGGGTCTTTAGAGGTCGCGGATAGTGCGCACGGACCAAAGTTAAAATGATGTAACCTCTGATATAAAGAATTCGGATTAAAATGATTATTTTCTCTATAAAACAAGTCAAAAATTAATAGAAATTTTATGAAACACAAAAAAAGAGGTTATTATGATTTTATGATATCTTAAATATCCCCCTACTAATTAGACAACGAAAATACACAAAGAAAACCTTAGCAAGTCCGTGTCAAAACTCAACAGAAAATGACGCCACCCGCCGGTACGGGGCAGCGTCCGGTCAAAAAATTAAGTTTTATAACAGCTGAAACGATGTAGAGACAAAATATTTGTTAAAACAACTCAAAATTATTGAAATACATTGAATGTATCGATTTGGAATTCGTATATACGATTTTTCAACAGTATGTATAAATTCGAAGACACCACAAGAATTTAAAAACACATGTAATTAACTGTAAATGGAGATTTCTATTCATGACGTTTTTAATCTAGCGCAGCGTCGGACTGGACTGTTCAGATTTGATATACATACTGTTAATTTAGATGACGCTCGTCAATTTGTGAGCATTGTTTTGAATTTTAAAAGTTAAATAAATTATAATCTATTATACTTTTAAAAAAATGTAGTGTGTTTACATGAACATGTGTTAAGTCAAAATCCAAATGTTTGACGTTATAATGAAATTAGCGTAACGTCAGACTGGTCCGTGCGCACAATCTGCGATCTTTAAAGACCCCGATTTTTACAAAAATATTAAGTTTCATCAATAAAAATTAAATCATTCTGCCTATTTTTTCATGAGAAATATTTTGTTATACAATAGATGCATATAGAACCATTTATTTTAACAAAACGTCATTGTCCACGAACTTTTTGGACAACCCTCGTTCATCGATTACTTAATTGTATAGAGATACACGCACCGATTCTAAGAGCAGGTTTTGTGGAAATAAAAAAATTTAACTAAACAATTCACTGAAGACACATGTTATCAATATAAATAAGCAATTAGACTCTCTTTGAATTCTTCAAACTATAAAATCTATGATACGTAATCAAGGAGTAAGGTGCAGAATTAAAAAAAGCATCGACTGTTAAGGTAATCGTTTACAAGACATATCTGTTTAAAAATGTGAAATTCGGAGAACGGAAAAATGTGTAAATTTTAATACAAATACCTCCATACGTCCATCCAGAGAAAACGCTTCCATCTTGATCACATACTGCCTTTTCCACTTTCTGGTCAAGAAGTTTAGAAGCGTCCACCACCACAACATAGAAAGCTCTCCTGGTCAGGTAAATCTGGTGACAGGCGTAGTACGCACACTGTCCGCCGAAGTCAAAGAAAGTCAGAGTCTTTTCATTATCATTTTTTATATAATTTTCTGCATTTTTGTCGTCTTTGCATTTTTTCCTGGCTGAAAAAAAAAATCGAACCGTATTGTCATTAAAATTGGGTTTTGATGGAATTAATACAATATAAACGCAGCGTTTGTTACAAAAGCCAGAATGATCAACTGTATTATATACTAGTATTCAGCAAATAATCCGCACTAGGTATAGTATATGAGAAGCATTTTAAGCATAAAATTACCACAACCCTAATTTTCGTCCCTGTAATTGTAATATACTGAAAGAACAATTATTTCAGTAGAAATTGTTTTTAGACTCTATTTTTATGTAGAAATTTAACTAAAAACTAATCCATCTTTTTTTTTTTCTTAAGATAAAAATATTATTAATTAATAATTAATTAATGATTAATTATTAATCCATTAAGGACAGATGGTACAAATATTTGTCAAATTCTTTTTGATAATAATAATTTGGGCCATGTTTAAATGATTGAGATGAATAAGTTTCACCGCAAAGCTTTTTAATTCTTTATTCAAAGTTGAACGAAAAATGGAATTTGAAGTGAATTTTTTTTGTATAGAGTAGATGATTTCAGAAGGGTAAAATTTTGAACGTCATAGAAGGTTTACAATTCTTTTATATTCTAGAAAGAACTTTATTCGGTAATAACCAATATTTGCCCCCAAATCAAACTTTGATGGAGATATATTTAATTAAGTTCTTAAATAAGGGAGTATATGCTGACTTGAAAGCACTGAATGTTTTCATAAGTGATGACGCTATATGTACGTAATGACATCACAAACATAACGTAAATTTCAGTTTTTTATGAATTTTACAGAAAAATGTACATATTTCGTCGACATTTTGAGTAAAAGTCACCGAGCGCATGTGTGTTCAGGATCAATATTTTGATATAATGTGATATAATGTGTAGAATGATAATATCAATGAAATATTTCAATATTGTTCCTGAACAAACTTGCGCTCTATAAATTCTATAAAGCTAAAATTGTTGAAATTTTGTCCATTTTGTCCTCTTTCTGAAAAAGGATATAAAATCGGACTGGTTTGTGACGTCATAAAAACAAACATTGTGAATACACTGCCTTGACTATAATATTTTATGTTAGTTTATATTTCTCATACAATTTATTAAATTTAGCACATTTCAGGAAGTTTTCAAAATATGACTTTTTTGGGGGGTGGGGGGATATATGCAATAAACCGCATATAGTTCTTTATCATTTGCATCATTTGAAATGAAATTAGGTTAAAAAGATAAACCAATCCAGGCATCCATTTGTTGTTTGTATTATCTGCCCTTAAATGGAGATAAAATGTTTATATCTTTTAGTAGTACAACCATTGATGGATCTTCTTGTAACAATGGCATATTTCATTTTACATAGGATCAGTGTGTCTTGTTTAATAGAACACGGAAGTAATAAGTAAGTAATACGTTTTAGTAATTCAGCAGAAATACGGCCATACAAAATTATTTATATATCTTAACATAAAAACAGTGTTCGATTTTTCTATAAACAATTTTTGAAGTCATTATAGTCTCTATGATGATCTATTGCTCTCTAGTTTTGTTCGTCGTCGTGCGATATACATTGTGCGTGGTTCGTCAGTCATATACTTTTGAACAAACTCAGCCTCAAATCTGTATCTCAACCAATTAAGCACATAGCATCAATGATTTAATGGGAACATAAAATGTGAGTGTCATGGCCGATCCTTGTCCGCTTTTGCCCTAAAGTCCATCAAAATAAGTGCAATCTTCTTCTTTTCTCCTAAATATCAAGTAGTCAAATTCGTGGAATATGATTATAATAAGCTTTTGGCTCTATATGAACATTATGAGATTTATGACTCCAGAAACGGGGGTTCTGATTTTAGAGCGGAATAGATCGGAACACCTCTGACAAATAGTGAAAAGTGAAAAACAAAGTTATATACCATTAAAATATTCTTCTCTCCCCCTGAACGTTCACTGTAGCTCAGTCGGTAGAGCGCTCGCTCCGTGATCGGGAGGTCGTGAGTTTAAATCTCGACCACGAGAGATCTAAGACGATAAGAAAAGGTAGCACCAGTGCCTTCGCCATGCACTCGGCAATTTGAAGTGAAAGTTGCAGGTCCATCGGGTGAGAGCTTAAAAACCGAGGCTGTGTCACTGCTCAATGGACCTGAGTGCGAAGTAAAGGTCAAAATTTGAAGCCCTTCACAGGTATATGGTGACGTCTCTACTTGAGTGAAAAATTCTCGAATGAGACGTAAATCAAGTTACACACTATAAATCAATTATCTCCCCTGTTGTTAAGCAGACAAACTAGGTTCACTGTGATGTTCAGCAAGGGTGCCTCAAAAATCTGAAATATGTGGCTCCAGGTTCTGAAAATTTAGTTTGGGAGGGGGGAAGCTTTATATATTTTATAGTGAAAATACATCATTTCTTTAAAAAAAAGTCTGTTTTCAGGTTCAAAAGCAAAACAACTAAGAGCAAAGTAATGAGGAGTAAGAAAGCTCTCTGAGTCAAGGGATGTTGGATTAGGATTAGGTAATATTAATTATACCGTAAAACTCGAACACGGATATTGCGAATTTACGTATAAGTCGAAGTCATTATAGATCACCAATTAAAAAAAAATCATCAATTTCTTATACGATGTTACGAATTACGGTTATAGCGAAGTAATTTCATAGGCCACAGTGACTTGGCTATGACCGAATTTTACTGTATAGTGAAAATGCAAATACACTTTGAAAAAATCCTCTTAGATTAGGTACACATAGAGCTCGGTGCGGTGAGGGGGTATATCGATTATGCAAAGTAAAAGTGTATTGTTTCGTCACAAAATATTTTTTTCTCTTTTCCTGGACAGTAAGCAATGAATCATACTAAGTGCATCGTAAAATGAGAAAGTGTGTCTATATTCCAAAGCTGTGAGATTCATGGATTCTGGGCCAGGGGTTTTAGTTTGAATTATTTACTATCTTATGAACAGAATTTCGAAAATTTGAATTTGAAAGAATTTGGCCTAACTGTTGTGTACTCCTTATCCCCACTGAAATTGTCTTTTTATTATAATTATTTTTCTAATAAAAATACAATTTATGCAATAGAATGTTGATATTTGACTATATCAAATGAGAAAATATGCTTGTGCTCTCACATGAATATGATATAAGTAATGATGTTTCTTTCTGCTCTGTTTATGACAGAAAAAGTAACATTTGCAGCTTACTTTGAATCTTCTTACATTTCAAAGAATTTTTTTCATCACAAACTTCAAATATTTCTTCGTGCACCTCCAATCCCTCAGTAGATTTTACTTCATTAATCTCTTCTTCACTACAACCAAGTAGACGTTTAAGTAGTGTGGTTTTGCCCGCCCCAGCACATCCCACAATCATCCCCCGGGCGTGGTGGACTGTTTGTGTTCCTTTCTTAGCATACTCAACATACCGCTCTCTGGCCTCCTGGTCCCAATCTAGTACTTCTCTAGGGACTCCCACTGTATCAAAGGAAATCATCAGAATGAAAGATGAAAGGGACCTTTTTTTTTTTTACATATTTAATCATATTTTTTGTTATTAAAGTGATTTACAAACAGAATAAAGACGATCAAATCACTTTAATAAGAAATAATGTATTAATTAGGAACAATTGGTTCGCTATCTTACAAAATCAGGCAGCTCTCACATCATGGCCTACAGTCCATGCTTGACAAAAACGCGGGAAGAGAGAGAGAGATAAATACTAAATATCAAGGCACTCAAGACCGACCTTAATTTCAGAAGGAAAACACCCCCTTCCCCACATAAACTACATCAGACAATTTTTGAACTAAACAATGGAATTTGATAGCTTTATTCCTTGTGAAATAATTTCGAATTAAAAACAGTGGCATGTAAGATAGTTATTTAAAGTATCTATAGTTAAAAAAATTCTTTAGATATGTATTTCCGTTAATTACTACTGTAACAAACATATCAATTCGAAATTCTCATGTTTTAAAAATGGCCCAATTTTTATTGTTTGGTGTCTCCCTCCTTCTCCTAGTGTTCTTATCAAGTGTATGACATAACATATTATTCTCATTTTCTTTGCGGAAGGTCAGAGTTGATTTAAAACTAGAAATATGTGCATAGGAATGCCCCGCCGAGGGTATATTAGTAATGCATCATAAAAGTTTGTATTAGTGTAGGAAATTTGATCAAAATATCTTCAAGTTGAATAGTGATGTAGTGGAAGTGCTTACACCAGGATGTATCAGCATATGAAGTTTGACACTAATTTCAGAAAAGTAAGGTCAAGGTCAAAGAAAAGGTAAAAAATGTTAATGCAGTTAAAAAAACTCTCATCAGTATGTATCAACATATGAAGTTGAAAAAGAATATTATGAACAGTTTTATTAAAACTGAAAAACTAAAATAGTGAGATTGATATCAAATAAAAGGTCAAGGTTAAAAATGTTGATGCAGTTGAATAGCTATCATACGTTTGTATCAATATGTAAAGTTTGATAACACCACCTTGCATGCTATGTTTAAAGCTAAGCTAAACATTTACTTTAGAAAAATGAGGTCAAGGTCAAAGGAAAGGTCAAGGTCAAAAATGTTGATGTAGTTGCATAGCTCTCATCAATATCTATCAGCATATGGAGTTTGACGAAAATATCTTGGATAATTTTTATGAAACTGAGCTTTGGTGGAGCTAAATGCAAAGTGTTACGGAATGACAGACAGAAGAACAGAGTAGCAAATATTATATGCCATATTCATGGCAGGGCATAAAAATATAACATTTCGAAAATGCGTGATCATCAAATACACTTTGAGGGTATTGTGTCCAAACTGTTACACTCTACAAGAACATTCCTATGGTATTAGCATCTGATTCTTTGATTCAACCTTCTATCGCTGCATTCTGATTCAACATTGTCGTCGACAGTTTTGATTTAAACCCAAGTGACATGACCTGGCTAGTTTTCCTTTGAAGTCAAGCTTACTGTAACTGCGATACAATACTTTTTATAGGCGTTTCTTATGCAAATGAGCAGAAACTGCACAGTTTCTGCAAAATATCAACGACACAGTACGTTTTATTTTTTGCAACGACGGAAAGTCATATCCCTATCCGTATAACGATTGTTCAATTTGCATGAAAGCACTGTTACATAAAATTATCATGTATTATTTACTCAAAATTAGGTAAATTAAGAATAAAATTAAACAACGTTGACTTATTAGTGTCAGATTCAAGAGTTTAGAAAGGAGGGTGTGGGACAGTTCTCAAATGATTTCTTTGAACCCCCCCCCCAAAAAAAAAAAATGAAATATCATTTTTCGTTGGAGTAGATTTATAATCAACGAAGACACTGTGTGCGTGATATCGTTACTTGTTAATAAATTATAAAGCGTATTTATACATTTTCAGCAAAAATTATTCAGTAAAGCGGAAAAGGTAAAGCTCAAAGGTGGGTGGGATGGGGGCACCAGTGAGTGCTGGATCCCCCTTTAGTTACTTTTCTTAAGAAACATTAAGGTAAAACGCCCCCTTTTCCTTTCAAGTACCAAGTATCCATGTAAATTAGTGAGGTCATTAGAGAGGTCATGTCACAAGTCATTTAGAATACTCGTTTTCTACTGTATCGTAGATACAGGGCGTGGCCCAACTCGAGCTGTCGCTCTTGCCTCAAGCCCTGCGCTGTATCTCCAATACAGTAGGAAACTCGTACTCTAATATAACTTGTTAGAATGTTTTCAGATCATGTTAAAAAAAACTTAGAGATGCAATACACTAAGTACCATGATAAATCCGTTTACAATCAAAGTACTCAGAAGTACAGAGAGCCGGGCTCATTTACAGAGTAGAATGGATTTCTTACATGAATCACGTTTATATTCTGATGAAAAAATTATTTTAAAACTATCAATATAAATGATAAGACACTGACAGTGAGTTTTTCAATCCTAATACCACGGTCCGATTTTGTCAGAATCAGAATTAATCTGGTACCGCAGCTGAATGTAAACAAACAAACAGGCCAGTCTGGTTCCCTCTCCTGCTTTACCTCGTATGTGTAGAGAACTACGGTAACACTGATTATCAAAAATCCTTACGCTAATGAACTATGTTCTTTGACTTATAAAGTTTTCAAAGTCATTACTATAAATGTTTATTTTATATAGAGGAAACTTCGTTTTATTTTTGTTGCTTTATTTAGCGTTTGTATTATCTCAAAAGCGGTTGAGAGTAAGAACTATATTTTTGCACGTAACTTTAAAATGGCGACTATTGGGTTAACATCCTGCCTTGAACAGGATCACATAAGCCGGCAATTGCTCTTTGAGCAATAAGCCCGGCTAAAAATGTAATTTATTAATAAATATTTTTTAAAGCGTTTTAAGATTTGCCATGGCAACTATTGTATTGAATGTCCTTATTATGACCTTGGAGATAAAACAAAGATCTCAGCAAACTATCTTTGCAGTACAATAATTTGAACTGTTTTAAGGCAAGATTTAAAAAAAAATTTATCAAAATCTTCGTTAGGAGAGCATTGAAGGTAATATACATGCATATTAATTAAAACCTAGCTTTTCTAATATGATTCCTTTTAGATAGATTTTTTGATACGTAAAAACACGTTTTTGATTTTCATTGTAATACCTCCGGCGTCTTTAAAAAGTGTTTCATTTGTTCAAGCAGCATGATAATTCTCCCGTGAAAAAAACATACTGCCACAGGAAGCTATTTACAAAATAATTGTACACACATGAATCATAGGCCGCATCAATTTAATTTTTTTGCTCGTCGGTCCTGCTCGCTAATTTTTAAAGAAAACTTTACAAACAATATTCATCATAATTTCCTGCACCTAGGAAATTCTGTGATAATATTATTATCAAATGGCACGCCCGATTCTACTTTCTTCCGTCAGATATCCGACGAACAAGAAATTAAATCTGCGTGACCTTATGCACGTGTTATTGTTTAAATGTTAAGATATGTATGATAATTAAAGTTAAGATAATTAATCACAATAATACATTCAAAATAATTTCAATAACACTAACATGTTTTGACAAATATTTAAGAAAAATATTAATTTTAAAGAAATTATACTTACAACGTTCACTGATCCTGTTATGAAACGTCATATCAGACAACGTACGGTGTGTGATAATGTCCAGCTGTAGTTTGTCTATGAAGAGGTCGTACATCTTCTCAGGACTGTCCGGTACATACAGACATCTCTCTCCCTCACGCCTTTCATAATGCCACGAACGGCAGTATTCTGATATCACGTCACGTGACGCCGTGGTCAGGAAAAACTCCAGATCACTATCCTCCACCAGACACTCCGTAACAAAGGCGTACATTACGTCATGTCGGATGTCGTCTGATACAAATGTTATCACACCGTCACGTGTTTCTGTGATTCCGTAAGGAAGATTTACCACGTCGTCATCAGTAATGTCACGGAAATATCTCAGTCTGATTTCATCCCTTTTGTTTTTGTGGGATTGTTCATTGAGATTCTGATATTTCTCAAACATAAGTAAACTATACAATGAACTCCTGACTTCTGGCATATAGTTATGGTATTTACCTGAAATGAAAACAAAGACTTTTTGAATGATAATCAGATTTTTTATCCACAGGCGCTTGGCGTCTTAAACTGTTCTTTTCATCAATAAAAAGTCCCCCATACTATAATAATAACATAGTTCGTCATGGTCACCATTTGATTTTTTTTCAGTTAAGCGACTTTGCCTTGATTTTTCCTCTATAATGTGTTGAAAATTAAGGACGGTCCCTACTTTTACTGATCTGGTTTTAATTTTTCACATCAATATAAAATTCTGATTATCGTTTATCTATTGACAAAATTTATTTGGATGATTTAAAATAATATAGCAAGTGTGTATTTGTTTATTATAATGTCATTGAGTAAACAAAGCATTTAAGAATGTTTTTTATGGAATTTTTTAAAATTTGCACTTTGTCCATAGGAACTAAGTACATAAACAGATACAAAATTCTTAATTGCATTCATGGACATAAAGCTTTTAACTTTTTTTTAAACAAACTTACTTGAGATATATTTTTATTGATTTTAAAGCCTATATCATCTTTTAAAATTTTGCTTTTTAAAAACATTTTGCAAAGAATGTTTGAAAAACTGATATTCCAAATTTGGGGGTATACATTTTGTACGTGTTCAAAAGGCTGTATTGTTAAAGAAGTAAAGCAACGAAGGTGCATAATCGGCCTATTCTTTTTAGGAAAATTTAACTGAAGTTAACCAGAAAAATAACGGTATAAATATCATCTTCTTGTATCGAACTTCAAATGTTTACGTCACATTCTTAATTTGATGATGTCACATTTGTACAATAAATGTCTTATCATGTGCACACTTCGCTAATTTTTAGCATAATTTAATGTTTTTACATCCTTCATTCAAAATTTGACCCTGGCAACACCCTACAAACAAAATGAAATTTATGTCATTTAAAAGAGGATATAAAAATCAATACACGAGGCATATTTTTATTTTGTTTGTCGGGTGTGGCCACATCGAAAACTTAACTTTTCCTTCCATGCGAAACAGCTGAAAACGGATCACCAAAACGGATGTTCGGTCTCATTTTAATATTAACGTGATCAAAGATGCTGATTTATTCTGCTTTTTATTAGAAAAAGTTATCAAAATGCAATTATCTTATTCAAAATACTTGATTTTGTGTAATGAGAAAAGAAAATAGAAAACGAAAACCACATGCTAAACAAAATATTAAGTCTACAGCATGCAGTAATGTAGAATTTTTTTGTACCCTCGGTTCTGACCACAGATTTTCACTTGACATAGCTGATCTACATTAAATTCATCGATCATGATAAAATATTTTAAATATAATCTGTCCTTTGTGTGAATTTGAGTTCAAACTCGATCCGGTTCCGACAAAACCCTCCTTGTCGCCATGGTAACAATGTAATTAAAGGAAAATAACTCGTGAAATCCATATAATATAGATCGAAAGCCTACGTCAATCTAAACCAAAAGCCTACTAAGAATTAACATGCATTCTCTGTAAGCACCAAAAAATTGACTATAGGGCTTGGAAACGACATATCTCCGATTTTGATGAAATTTGCACCACAGGTGCACCTTGGTACAAAACCAGCAAATATGGTGTAAGACGTTTCCCAGGTGCACCCGGTTGCCATGGAGACGGATCCATTGAATTTGGCCATTTTCGGCCATTTTTGACCAAACAAAAACATGAAAATTGAGGAAATATGAATCCATTTTTATCTTTGTGTAGTGAACTCAAATATAAATCTTTGTATCATAAGAAATCATCAACTGTAAAAGAATATAGGGCATATAACCAGTTATTCCAGAATTGACCCCACTCTTAGAAAACGGCTCTGCAAAATAGCATAGTTTCTCAAAATGTGAAAAATGGAAAATTGGCATTTTTTGAGAAATTTAAGGTTAAATAAAAAAAATTGTCTACGGAAATTTTTCAAATCTTATGCGTGTCGTCAAACGTCAGTATTAGTAGTGTCCCCTCATGAAAAAATTGGAGTGGGATCTCAATGCTATTTTTAGTAACATGTATCTAAAAATAGACATATTTCAGAAAAATCCAAAAAATGAAATTTAGGCAGAGTTTAAGATGCCATTGCTAGGTAATTATGAAATAAACTGTAAAAGTCAATATGCTAATGTCAGAGACTGGACACCAATAACTACCATGCATATTATTTTCAGGGATTTCCGTTTTCTATTTATAGCTTCAAATGCCTAAATATAGACATGTCTCATAAAATGATGAAAAATGTCAATTTTCCATCATTTTGAAGCTCCACTGAATCATAAATAATAAAAATATGGATCTCTCCAATATTTCATCAATAAGAACAAGGAATAGTATAATATCTCACAAATTATTGAGGACAGGCTCTCATCTCAATAAATAGTACAAATGTCTAAAAATAGACACATATGAAATTAACTGTTTAATGTTTATTTTCCACCATTTCTCAAATTAGAGATGGGAAATTTACCGACTTACTGTCATTAAATGTAACTGATATTATGTGACTGACAGGAACAAAAGAACATTCAATGGAATGCAGCATGATACGCAGAGGTTTCCATTTCTATTTATAGTAACACATGTTTATAAATAGACGTAATGCGAAATATCGGGAAAATGTCGTTTTTTGTACTTTTTTCTAAAACTTTGGATGAATAATTGCTGACTATCTGTTTTAAACTGCTACTGGCATATGGTGACCAACAAGTAAAAGAAAGTCTTATATCAAATACAAAATGAGAAGCAGTGGTTTCCATTTCTATTTATAGTAACACATGTTTAAAAATAGACGAACTGCAAAATATCGGAATAATTTTTTTTCTCACATTTTGGATGAACAATTGCAGACTATATGTTTTTAACTGCTATTGGAATATGGTGACCAACAAGTAAAAGAAAGCATATACGAAATACAGAATGAGAAGCAGAGGTTTCCATTTCTATTTATAGTAACACATGTTTGAAAATAGACGTGATGCAAAATATCGGAAAAAATGTCATTTTTTGTACTCTTTTCTTACATTTTGGATGAATAATTGCTGACTATCTGTTTTTAACTGCCATTTGCATATAGTGACCAACAAGTAAAAGAAAGCATTATATCAAAAAACAGAATGTGAAGCAGAAGTTTCCATTTCTAATTAGAGTAACATGTGTTTAAAAATAGACGTACTGTAAACTATCGGAAAAATGTCATTTTTGTACTTTTTTCTAAAATTTTGGATGTATAATTGCTGACTATCTGTATTTAATTGCTATTGGCATATGGTGACTAACAAGTAAAAGAAAGCCTTATATCAAATACAGAATGAGAAGCAGAGGTTTCCATTTCTATGCGACTACACTGCAACATGCCTGCTTAAAAGGGGGAGGGTTAAATCTACTCCCAAATATTTATTACCTATATGATGTCTATCTTTGACACCCCCCCCCCCCGGTTCCAACAACTGCATGTATGTTTATACGTAAAATAATTTTATAGAAACCAAAACAACACATATTTTTAAATGCTTTAGTTAAAGTCTAGAGAAATATGCATGTATAGAGAGAGAGAGAAATCGAAAGTAAGCCAACTCAAAACATTTGGGCAAATTTCGGATTACTTTCGAACAAATTCTGGTAAGGCATGCATGGAGCAAAGGGGATCTGGATCCCAGGAATATTCAACTTTATTATTACCCCCCCCCCCCCCAACGGAGTTTGGGAGTATATAGGAATCAGCTTGTCCGTCTGTCTATCTGTCCATCTGTCTGTGCAAAAGTGTCCGGTCCATATCTTCCTTAATGAGGAACATTAGAATCTACTACTCCACTCAAAGATTGCCCATGACCTTAGGGTGTGTCATGACCTTAACCCAAGGTCATTTGGGGAAGTTCAAGGTCACTAAAAAAATTTAATTCGTGTCCGGTCCACATCCTTCTTACAGATAAACTTGGCATGTTCTTATTTCACACAAAGATTTCTCATGACCTAAGATTGTGTCATAACCTTGACCCAAGGTCATTTAGGGAAGTTCAAGGTCACTGAAAAAAGTTTCATAATTCGTGTCCAGTCCATATCTTTATTATGGATAAACTTGGTAGTTTCTCATTTCACACAAAGACTGCCCATGCAATGAGTGTGTCATTACTTTGGGCCAAGGACATTTGTGGAAGTTCAAGGTCACTGGAAGAAATATTTCATAATTTGTGTCCGGTCCATATCTTTTTTATGGATTAACTTGGTATGTTCTTATTTCACACAAATATTGCCCATGACCTAAGATTGTGTCATGACCTTGAGTCAAGGTCATTTTGGGAAGTTCAAGGTCATTGCAAGAAAATTTCATAATTTGTGTCAGCTCCATATGTTTCTTATGGATGAACTTGGTAGGTTCTTATTTCACACAAAGATTGCTCATGACCTAAGAGTGTGTCATGACCTTGACGCAAAATCATTTGGGGAAGTTTCAAAGCCACTTGAAGAAATTTTTTTATTATTTTTGCCCATGCAATAAGAGTGTGTCATGACTTTGGGCCAAGGATATTTTTGGAAGTTCAAGGTCACTGGAAGAAATATTTCATAATTTGTGTCTGGTCCATATCTTTTTTATGGATTAACTTGGTATGTTCTTATTTCAACACAAATATTGCCCATGACCTAAGATTGTGTCATAACCTTGAGCCAAGGTCCTTAAGGGAAGTTCAAGGTCACTAAAAAAATTCATAATTCGTGTCCAGTCCAAATCTTTCTTATGGATAAACTTGGTATGTTCTCATTCCACACAAAGACTGCCCATGACTTAAGGGTGTGTCATGACCATGAACCAAGGTCATTTTGGGAAGTTCAAGGTCATTGCAGGAAAATTTCATAATTTGTGTCCGCTCCATATCTTTCTTATGGATGAACTTGGTAGGTTCTTATTTCACACAAAGATTGCTCATGACCTAAGAGTGTGTCATGACCTTGACGCAAAATCATTTGGGGAAGTTCAAAGCCACTTGAAGAAATTTTTTTTTAT